CACTCAGCTTATCAGAGTGAGCTGAGCTCATGGCATAGATCTACGGTTTGGACCCTGAATGTAAAGCCATAGATCTACGGCACGGACCCTGAAAGGGTTAAGTACTCATAAATTCTAGCGGTTTCAAATCAAGCAGGAGAAAGCTGGTACACCCACATGTGAGAGAATGTGTCTGTGTGGTCAGTGTGCACCATATAAAAAAAAACCTACAGTACATAATGAGAAAAAAAAAACTGACCATTTTTTTAATTAAAATGCCGAATTTGTGGCCTATTTTCATATAGTATTTATGGTTGTATTCTCATTTTCTTGGTCTCATTTGATAGAATGGAAAACATATTATAAAAATAGAGGTGATTTTGATTCGTTTTACTATGAAAAGAACCTTGAAATGGAGCTCAGGTAGGGAAAATGCTCGATTTTTGCCAATGCTCAAAAGTTAACAAATGATGTCATTTTCCAATAAATGTCCAAGTAGCCATTCTAATATGCAGTCATGAATGGGTTGACATTATTTATACAATTATTACAATATTGCAGTAGTCTGCATAACAGTAGAACTTCTATTTTTTGTTTGAATAAAAATTCAAAATAGAAAGCAAGAGTAATATCAGAGCGGCCTGGAGACATGACTGATGAACAAAGAAAATGTTATTTTAGAACCAGGAATGTCTGCATTGTTCATTCTGGACCCTATTTTGAAATTATCAAATTTCTTAATTTTCGTGAAATTGTCCAAATTGCAAATTCCTGACCACGTTATTGGGTAGTTGAAATCGGTAAATGGGCAATTTCTTGTACTCAGTCGATAGAAAAAATAGAGTTCTAAAGAAATAGCTATGAGTTTGGTCGACTAGAACAATGGATTTAGCCGAAAATAGGGCTCAAAGTGGGCAAAATCGCCGATGCGTAAACATCGTCGAAACTGCTAACTTCCGAGAGCGTAATTCCCTAAGTTTTCCATCAAACTTCATACTTTTAGTGTCAATATGATCGAGTAAAGATTCTCTATCATTTCATAAGATTTTTTTTTTTTTTCCGAAAAATTTTCGACCCTGAGAACGAGTTTAGGAGAGGGCCTCTCGACCCTGAAAGGGTTAATATCGATAGTGGTAGACTGCTGGATATTTGCACATATACCATGACTTCATTTTTCACAGAAATTATATGCAACCCAAACAATACACCGCATGGTACTATTCTTGCAGCTTACCCAGTTCTTCATGATGATAATTTTTTCAGTCTTGGAAGAAATGGAGATACAGTGGACCCTCGACCAACGATATTAATCCGTTCCAGAGAACTCGTCATTAGTCGAATTAATTTCCCCCATAAGAAATAATGGAAATCCAATTAATCCGTTCCAGACACCCAAAAGTATGAAAAAAAAAAATTCACAAGAAATATACGTTTTCCTACACAGAAAAAAAATGATACATGCACAATAAATACTGTACTGTACTAAATGAAGAATAAATGACACTTACCTTCATTGAAAATGCAGTGATGAGTGATGGGATAGGAGGAGGGGAGATGGAGGTGTATTAATTTGGGAGCAACTTCAGTCACTGGACCTCTGTCACACCAAAATATCTGTCCACTGAGCTCTTCCAGAACGGGCCTATTTTGTCACAATTGAACACTTGTTGGGGTTGGAATTTTTCAGCTTCACCATGCCTTATCACACTGTGTATGCCACTACGATTCTTAAATCTCTCAAACCAACCTTTGCTGGCCTTAAATTCACCAATATGAGCACTAGGTCCTGGCATTTTTTCATGTTCACCTAGGTGTTAATCAACTGGTGTGGGTCGCATCCTGGGGGACAAGATTAAGGACCCCAATGGAAATAAGTTAGACATTCCTCGATGACACATTGACTTTCTTGGGTTATCCTGGGTGGCTAACCCTCTGGGGTTAATTGTTTCTCAGTGATTGTTTCTCATTAAGCCACACCAACAACACTCTCTCCACGTCTTCGAGTAGTACAGCTGACGGTGGTGCAGCAGCAGCTCCCCATGGTACAGCAACAGCAGCAGCAGCTGACCATGGTACGATAGTATTTCAATGGTATTTCTCACACTTTTTACCACAAGGTTGGCACTAGAAGCTTTCTTCGGGCCCATGGTGGCTTATTTAGCACTAAAAACAATGGAATAATACAAAATGTATCGAATGTATGCGTGGAACCGTCGGTCCTGGCTTGCAAACAATGGCACACTAGCTGACAGCAGGGCAGCTGAGGCACTCAGGCTGGATGGACAGGTTCGGGATGAATCATGTAGGTCAAGTTTTTCATCGTTAGTCGGGACAAAATTTTTTATGCTCAAACGCTTTGTTAGTCAAATTTATCATTAGACGATGCCTTCATTGGTAGGGGGTCCACTGTACCATGATTTACAGCAATTTGTGTGAATATTATGCAGAAAATTACAAACATAGAACTTAAAAGATGGTGTAAGATTATGAAAGATATAATTCAGAAGGAAGAGAAGAGAAGAAGTTGTTGAGCTAGTTTCTCAACTCAGAAAAGGGATCAGAACAGGATCACAAAAATGGTGTAAAATTCAGAATGAAAGGAAAGAGAGGTATGGGGTCATCCCAGGAAGGGTTGGAGGGGATGTAAGCATGTTAGATCATGATAAGTGGATAAAAACAGTTTTCAGTGTTCGATGTGCTGTTGGAGTGTTAGCAAGGTATCATTTCTTAAGAAATTAGAGAAACCAGTTAGCCAGATTTTTGTTCTTGAGATGGAAAGTACATGGACTGTACTCTGAAGGATGGGGGTAGAGATGTTACAGTTTGGAGGGTCATTTCAACTGGGATGTCTGCAAACTTCTGGCAATACATCTACTGAATGAATGATGGTGAATGTTTTCTTTTATGGGTCTCCATACATTACTGGAAGATGGTCCTGTATTAAAAAATTAAGTCAACAAAGAGTAAGAGAGATCTATGTTTACTCGCCCAGTGCTCCGAATATTTTGGAAAAAAAAAAAAAATTACATGAAAATGACATTTTTTTACATAATGTAAGAAATTTTTTTTAGAGATACGGACATATAAGGCCACAAAGTCGGCACTTGTAGCTCACCTGACAGCAACATGAAGCGCTGCCACTTCCAGATGCATTGCCAATATACCTTTTTTTTTCTCATTTTTCTTAATTTGTATAATTTTTATATTCTGATAATGACAATTTATAGTAGTTCTTGTGATTTCATAGTTAATCTTTGTTTTGACACTAATATTACATACTGAAATAGTACTCAAATAATCACACAGTGATAGGTGAACATTTTCACCTACCTTAGTCTAGAAATATATGTACAGTACATACATAGTATTTATAGGTCCCACCAATGTTTTGGATGCAAGGGAGTATATAATAATAATAATAAAAATAATAATAATAATAAGTTCCCTTGAAGCATGATGTAAGTGTGTGTCACTCGTCTTATCTTATCAATCACTCCACTGCTGACAGTGGTGACATTTGATGAGCTCGTCTTATCTTATCTTATCACCCCGCTAATGACAGTGGTGACATTTGATGAGTGTTTTCTTATCTTATCACTCCACTAATGACAGTGGTGATATTTGATGAGCCTTCCCATTATTTGTTTTTGCTGTTACACATAAACATGTCTGTCTGTCTATTTATCTCTGTCTATCTGTCTGTCTGCATGTCTGTCTTTCTGTCTGCCTGTATGTTTCTTTCTGTCTGCTTGTCTCTCTTGTCTCAGAGAGTTGCTCATGAACCAACTGGTAGTACACACGATCACTATTTACAAGCACAGTATAGCACTTTGTCTGGATTTTTTGGGTTATCCTAGATAATTTACACTACGTATAATTGTATTTACGTATGTGTTCCTGTGAGATAGAGACAGAGATAGAGACAAAGAGATAGATTCAGACAGACAGATGGAGATGGAGACAGCCAATTAGCCAGCCAGCTGAAATTACATGTTCCAGAATTGTTTCTTTTTACTTAGGGCATAGGTTATAGGACATTCTGGAAGGATGACACTTTCCTCTTAAAAAAGGAGTGTTAATATGACATGACATCAGTGAATCCCTGGTGTTTGACACGCTGTTTGCTCTAGCTGGTGCTCATTTGAACTGGTGCTCCCACAAGGTACTAAGTGGTTCCAGATTTTTTAATATTGTACACACCAAGGGTTAAGACCCATTCTATGCTGACCAGGCATCTTAGGCCAATCGTGCCAAATTTGGAGGCAGGAAAAATAAAACGATCTACATTTGGAGCACTAGCGGTAGGAACATAGATCTATATTTGGACAGTTAAGGGGTTAAATAATAAGTATCACAGAAAGACCATATACATGAAATAATGAAAAGCTTATGAACTATACTGGAAGATTATAATATAACTACCCATATATTGATGGAGAAATGCCTAACAAATTATCTACAACATATATTAGGTCAAAATTGGAATATCTAGCCTTATTGTGGTGTTCTTACCTAAAAAACACACAAAAATAGAATAGAAAAGTTCAAAGATACATTACATATGACTTCTTGTGTTATGAAATATGAATGATATACAAATAAAGGTCTTTAATGATTAGTAAGAAGACAGCAGTGCTAAGAGAGAATGAAAAAAAAAAACAATTATACCAGAGTGCAAAATGTTTGACATGATTCAGTTTCAGAAAAACAAGACCTCTTATTTTAATCAGTGGGGAGAAGAAGGGGTCACAACTGCTAATGAATATAAATGATGCTGAAAGGATATTAGAAAGTTTTTCACAGAATGGCAAATCAAATAAATGGGATACAAGCAGCAGTAAATCCTACAGCTATTGGAAAAAATGATAAAGATTAAACATTGACAATAAAACTCAATGAGCATTACCCTGCTCTTTAGCTACAAACAGGTAATCATATATTCACCATGAATTCTGCCAGTTAAGGGTAACTTAGAAAGACAGTACTGTTAGCAAGTCTGCCATAAAAAAATTAGGACTTACCTGATGCCACTTCAGATGCTTCTTGAAAATCTAAATGTTGATGTGCTGCTTGTTGATGACGGTGAAGCTGCAGTGAACTGGAGAATGAACCACCACATTCCTTGCATACATGGGATCGTCCAACTACCCACAACAGGTGTGCCTAGGAAAAATGAATGAGAAAGAAAGCTACAAATGATGTTTGAGAATAAGTCATGGAAATGAAAGCCTGAAAAAAGCATAAAGTAGTAAATGATAAGAACTGAAGGAGTAGAATAACAAACACACATACTGCATTACATATGTCAAGAGAAATTGAACTGACACTATTTGATCAACTTACTGTATTCATACTAGAATATCCTACCTACATATTGATACAAATTTCTCATGCCTTTTGTAGACACTAGTGAAGTCTCTCAGGAATATTCCTAAATGCTCTGCTACAGTAATAAGAATGCCCATTTGAAATTGTGTGAAACTGGCTAAACCCAAATGTAAATAAGCTTAACACATTACATTCAACTTCTGATCTTCATAAGTCATGCAAAATACAAAAATCTTCAGTAAAGATAACGAAGTGATCACAATTTAAAATCGAACGTGTGAAAACCAAAAAAAAAAAAAAAAAAAAAAATGCTAAAATCAGAGTTTGCTGAATTTCAGCTTATTTTTAAGAGTAAACAAAAGGCCTAATGTGAAAAGCAATTATCAAAATATAGATTTTTAGTCTGAGAATACCTATCAACTAGAAGCCTACTAAAACACCTACTCCACATTTCATTTACTCACAAGCATTCTTATAGTAATATGAACACATACTTTCAGATGGTTTGCAAATGGAACAAGTTTGATGAAACTCTCTCCACAGTACTTGCAGCACCATGGGCGAGGTTCTCGAGCTCCCAGGGCACGTGCAGGAAGCTGTTTTACAACATGAGACTCTGCTACACAAACTTCTGCTGAGAAAATAGTTTATTTAGATATGATGAAAACATGACTCTATATGACTTTCCATTATATACATTACAATCAAGTAAAGAACTAATAGTTACAAAATACCAAATACATGTATAGTTTAAAACTATTGCAAAAAAACAGCCAACATACCTGACTTTGGCACTCTCATCTTGTAAGATTTTCTTTTGGGAGTGGCTGATTTAAAAGACTTGCAATCTCCATCAACTTCTGCTGGAGAATCTTCATGAAGATCATCACCAAGTAAACAGCCTTCAGAATGGAGGCTAAAGTTGTCATAGTGTTCATTATGAGATGGACTAGAGTCAGAGTTCTCTGAAGCTGCAGTTATTGTGAATGTTACAATGCATTCTGGTTCCCTTGTAATATCTCTGTTGTTTACTAACACTATACTTTGTACTAAACTGCTTTGATTAACTTGTGGGCAAAACTCAAAGTTGCCTTCATTGGCAGTCTCATCCTTTTTCTTCTGTTGAATATTTTTTTCACATAAATAATTACCTGATGAGCTAACTGTTGTTGTTATTTGCTTTTCCAGTTCAATTTCACCTGAAAAATATTTGTCTGCCACAGGATGAGCATTTGGAACCAGTGGATGTTTGATAAAATTGTTGTCATGTTCCCTCTCACCTTGTATAGCACTGTGTGTGAAGGTAATCTGGTCTTTTCCCACAATAATCCTTGTTAGCGAGGGAGCAACATGTAGGTAGGTTTCAGCTGGGGTCTTAGCTTGTGACTGCTTGAATGGGACTCTACGTGTAAGAACAGAAGTGCCAACCAAACTCTGATTGTAGCCAAGTGCCTTCAGTTCATCTTTCACCTTGTGCTGGTAAAATGGAGCATACCACACACGAAGTTCTGATCCTTCTTCAATTTCTTTAGATGCTACATAATATATTAAATCTTCAATCTGCAATTGATGCCTAAATAGAGTAAAATGATTTGCACATTAACAGTACAATATTATTTAGATACACTAGGCAATTATAAATTCTTTAGGGATTCATGTAGTGAGCTCTAAAATTATTTAAAATGAGTAAATTTTCCTAAATGAATTTAATTTTGGAATTACAACATGGACATCCTACACCTAAACAAACAAAACAAAAAACAAAAACAAACAACTTTATATCTACAAAATGGTGTACTGGTAATTGACATGTATAAACTACTTTACAAAAAGCCTCTTGTCATGCAAAGCTTTTCAAGGAGCATTAAAACTAACTCATAATTACTAGACAATGAGACACACATAGTACACGAGAAGAATACAGTGGAACCTCGGTTGTCGAACGGACTAGTTGTCGAACAAATCGGTTTTTGAACGAGAGATTCAGTCCTGGTTTTCATATGAGGCCTAGTTGTCGACTGACAACTAGGGTGATCACATGATCACCAAAGTCCACAGAGTGGGTCTCAGTCAGTATAGCGGCTAACACACGTGCTGTAAACATCTATTGAGCTCTTGCTGTGCATCTTGGGAAGGTAATGAAACCAAAACTCATGAAATTTGATGGAAAACCTATGGAATTACGCTATCCCAAAGTTAGCAGTCTCGGTGATATTTATGAATCGGTGATTTCGCCCACTTTGAGCCCTATTTTGGGCCAATTCCATTGTTCCAGTCGACCAAACTCGTAGCTATTTAGCTAGAACTACTTTTATTCTATCGACTGAGTACAAGAAACTGCCCATTTACTTATTTCAACTACCCAATAAAATAATCTGAAATTACTAATTTGGCCAATTTCACACAAAATTAGAGGAAGGCCAATTTCAGAATAGGGTCCAGCATAAACAATGCAGAAATTCCTGGCACTAAAATAACATTTTATCTGTTCATTAATCATGTCTCCAGGTCCCTCTTATATTATGCTTTTTTTCATTTTGAATTTTTATTCATACAAAAAATAGAAGATTTACTGTTATTCAGACAACTGCATAATTGTAATAATTGTATAAATAACATCAGCACATTTGTGAATGCATATCAGACCCACCAGTTGATGTGTATTGGATGCGTGACGTGATTTGTTTACACTTGAACATCGGCAAAATTGAACATTTCTGCTAATTTGAGCTCAATTTCAAACTACTTTTAGTCTTTAAACCATTAAAAATCATCTATATTTCTGTAATATGTCTTCCAATCTATCAAATGAGACCTAGAAAATGAGAATATAACCATAAATACCATACGAAAATACACCGTAAAGTAGCTGTTTTAAACCAAAAACACAGTCGCAGTTTTTTTTGTCTCATTATGCACTGCGTGCTGCAGGATTTTTTTTTATATTGCACACACTGACAATGCAGATCCATTCTCTCACATGTAGGCCTACCAGCTTTCTCCTGCAAGATTTGAAGCCTGTTAGAATTTTGCCATTAGCTCTCCTCTGAGAGGCAAGAGGTAGTTAAATTTTCAATTACTGTACAGTATTTCAGTTAAATTTTCATTTAGTATTCATTTTTACAGTTTCCGTGTGCTGTACAATTTTATACATTATTTTATGTAGTAGTTAGTACATTATTATTAACCCTTTCAGGGTTTCCGACGTATTAATACGGCTTACGCACCAGGGTTTTTGACATACTAATACACCTAAATTCTAGTGAGAGAAAGCTGGTAGGCCTACATATGAAAGAATGGGTCTATGTGGTCAGTGTGCGCAGTATAAAAAAATCCTGGAACACACAGTGCGTAATGAGAAAAAAAACTGACAGTGTTTTGGGTTTAAAACAGCGACCTTGCACTGTATTTTCGTATAGTATTTATGATGGTGTTCTAGTTTTCCTGGTCTCATTTTATAGAATGGAAGACATATTACAGAAATTGAGACGATTTTGATTGGTCTTACAATGAAAAGTACCTTGAAATTGAGCTCAAAGTAGCAGAAATCTTTGATTTTTGCCAAAGTTCAAAAGTAAACAAATCATGCTACGTGTCCAATACACATCAACTGGTGAGTCTAATATTCTTTCACAAGTGTGCTGATATTATTTATACCATTTCTACACTAATGCAGTAATCTACATAACAGTAAATCTTCTATTTTTTTGTGAGAATAAAAATTCAAAGTGAAAAGCAAAAGAACGTAAGAGGGGCCTGGGGTCATGACTAATGAACAGAGGAAATGTTATTTTAATACCAGGAATGTCTTTCTTGTTTATTCTGGACCCTATTTGGAAATTGGCCTCTTTTGAAATTTGTGTGAAATTGGCAAAATTGCTAAATTCTGACCACTGTATTGGATAGTTGAAATCGGTAAATGGGTGGTTTCTTGTACTTATTTGATAGAAAAAATGGAGTTTTAGCAAAATAGTTATGATTTTTGTTGAGTAGTACCCTGGAATTGGCCGAAAATAGGGCTCAAAGTGGGCAAAATCGGGTTGATGGGGTGGGGAGGACGTTGACAGGCAGTGAGGGTGGTGAGTGATGGTGTTATTGTCATTGTGACACTAATTATGCTGGTGACTCAGCATATTTACAAGTCCTCCCCCACACGACAACTACAAGCTTTACAGAAGCTGTAGCAGTTCTAGGAAGTGTCCAGTGACTTTATATGTGTATATATGTAATAGAAAAATAGTAATAAACAACATTTTTTATTGTTAGTTTGTGTAAACATGTTCTGTAAACAATATAATGACTGTGCAGATATTGTGTAGCATATGAGTGACTATACATTCAATATATCTTATATTGGTCTCACAGGCCATAAAATTACTTAAATGAAGAAAAAAAGAAAGGAAGAAGTAAGGAAGGAAGGAAGGAAGGAAGTAAGGTAGGTAGGTGTGTGGGGAGGAAGGGATGTGTTGTGGAAGGCAGTGAAGTTAGTGAGTGGTGGTATGATGCATCATTGTGACACAGGACACACTGGTGACTCAGCATATTTACAAGTCCACCCCCCACACAACTACAAGCTTTCAGAACCTCTCGTAGCTATAGGAACCTGTCCAGTGACTCTATATGTGTATATGATAGAAAAATAGTAATAAACAACATTTTTTATTGTTGGTTCGTGTAAACATGTTTTGTAAACAATATAATGACAGCAAAGTTTGTGTTATTATTGTGTACTATACAATGAGTGAATATATACCAAAGAGTCTTTATATTGGTTTCAGAGGCCATAAAAGTTACTTGAAAAAATAAAATATTAAAGAATAAAAGAAAAAAGTAGAAAAAAAAACAAAATAAATTATTACTGGGTGACCAGCAGTTGGCATTATTGCTGTATGTAGTTCAATTTCTGTCAACTTCATGCCTCCATATCTCCATAAGCATTGATCGCAAAAATTTTTTTTGGGCCTATAATACATACTCATAAAAAACTATCATTTCATAAGAAATCTTTTTTTTTTTTTCAAATATTTTTCGACCATGAGAACAAGTTTTGGAGAGGGCCTGTCGACCCTGAAAGGGTTAATTCACAGTAAAAATTTCATTGAAATTAGACAAAAGGAAAAAAAAAAATAATCAAAAACGTTTGTTGCCCCCTTAAACACTTATACCTTTTCTTGCCACTTTCAGCAACTAAATAAGAAATGAAAAGATAGGCTAAATGCTCTCAAAGCTGTTGCTGGCTACAACCCCAACTATGGTGCTAATGTGAGAACAGTGAGAATGATGTACATAGCCTATTGTTATGCCGAGATGTGGCTTTGTAAAACATAACTTTCATGTTTGTTCATCTATTTAATATTCAAATTCAAATTCAAAATTCAAAGTTTATTCTCTATAAAGATTACAATGTTGAATTTACAGAATTTGGTTGTTGTGTGGTTTACATGTAGTTAAATAATGATTACAGAGTGTACCACTAGAACGCCTAGCATGGCTAGGCATTTCGGGCAGACTTAGTTTAATTCTATATTTTAAAATATTACAAATTATGAGGTAAGTTGGTATTATGGCTAAGTGACTAAATACTAGTTTGTGAGTTTAGCAATGTGAATGCTTTTGTTTTGGCACAGTACATAGTTTCAGTATTGGAGTATCATAGGATTCATTATTTTAACCCTTTGAGGGTCGACAGGCCCTCTCTGAAACTCGTTCTCAGGGTCGGCCAAATTTAAAAAAAAAAAAATTATTTTCTCTTATGAAAAGATAGAGAATCTTTTCCCAATCATAAGGACACCAAAATTTTGAAATTTGATGGAAAACTTATGGAATTATGCTCTCGCAAAGTTAGCGGTATCAGCGATTTTTACGCATCGGCGATTTTGCCCACTTTGAGCCCCATTTTCGGCCAATTCCACTGTACTAGTCGACAAAAAACATGAATATTTCGCTAGAACTCCATTTTTTCTATCGAATGGGTGCAAGAAACCACCCATACATGAAATTCAACTATCCAGTACAGTGATCAGAATTTAGCAATTTTGCCAATTTCACACAAATTTCAAAAGATGCCAATTTCCGAATAGGGTCCAGAATAAACAAGAAAGACATTCCTGGCACTAAAATGACATTTCCTCTGGTCATTAGTCATGTCTCAAGGCCCCTCTTATATTCTTTTGCTTTTCACTTTGAATTTTTATTCTCACAAAAAATATAAAAATTACTGTTATGCAGACTACTGCATTAGTGTAAAAAATGGTATAAATATTATTGGTGCACTTTTGAAAGAATATTAGACTCACCAGTTGACGTGTATTGCACGCTTGGCATGATTTGTTTACTTTTGAACTTTGGTAAAAATCGAACATTTCTGCTACTTTGAGCTCAATTTCAAGGTACCTTTCATTGTAAAACCAGTCAAAATCATCTCAATTTCTGTAATATGTCTTCCATTCTATAAAATGAGACCAAGAAAACTAGAATACAACAATAAATACCATACGAAAATACAGTGCAAAGTTGCTGTTTTATTCCAAAAAAATGGTCATTTTTTTTTTTCTCATTAT